TCCAGGGCCTAAACTCTGGGCCTGGTGCTGTCCCTCAGCTCTTCAGCTCAAGGTGAGCGCTCTACCACTTGAGCCACAGTGCCACTTCTGGCCTTTTCTGCTTATGTGGTGCTGAGGAATGGAACCCAGGGCCTCATGCATGCAAGGCAAGCGCTCTACCACGGAGCCACCTTCCCAGCCCCTCCTAGGGGTGGTGGTCTTAGAGCAGAATTTTATCAGGCTGATTCTCCCCCTCCCCCAGGCACAAAGCACCGCCTGATGATCATACTGATCATACTTCTGCAGAAAGCTCAAAGCCTTGGACTCTTGATTTCCAGTGAGCAGGTCTTAAGGCAGTGGGACCTTTAAGAGGTGAGGCTTAGTAAGGCCATCAGTTGATTTGGAGGGGCCTTGGCAGAGGCAGGGCTTTGGGAGATGATTAGGTCATTGGGGGTGTGGTTTGGCAGGGGCGGGGCTTTGGGCACTTGGGGGCGGGGCCTACACAGGAACCTGGCTGTCCTCCAGGGTTGGTTGCTAGGAAACATGGGTGAGTGGTGAGGCTCAGGAGCCTGGCAGGGTTCTGGGGTCCCCAGCACCTACAGTACATAAATGAATGAACCAACCCACAAAACCCAACAAGCCTGCCACAAGCCTCATCCACCCGCTCCTCCAGGGCCGCCTTCCTTCTGCCGAGTTTGGTGGAGGTCGGGAAGGTGGCTCAGTGGTAGAGCACTTGCCTCACATACATGAGGCCCTGGGTTTGATTCCTCAGCACCACGTAAGCAAAGAGGAAAAAAAACAGAAGTGGTGCTGTGGCTCAAGTGGTAGCACGCTCGCCTTGAGCTGAAGAGCTGAGGCACAGCGCCCAGGCCCAGAGTTCAGGCCCCATGACCGACAAAAACAAAGATAATTTAAAAAAGAGAGTTTGGTGGACTTTTGTGCACCGGCTGGCTTTGAACCAGGATCCTCAGAGTAGCTGGGATGACAGGGGTGACGGGCGGGTACCTGGCGGTGCCTTGGACGTTTAAAGTTGCTCCTCTCTAGAGTATGTATGTCCTGTCCTGGCTTCTATTTAAAACACGGCTCAGAGGCCGCTGTGCTTTGCAGAAATGGATCCCTGTACATCTAAAAATAACGCCTGGGCTTGAATTCCTTCCTGGGCCTCTGTGTCCTCTGGGATCAGGCATGGAGCAGGGGTGGGGCTGGCCCGATAGGCACCTGTGCTGCTGAACACATGAACACAGGCTCCCCAGCCTCACAGTCACATGACCGAGCGCCAGCTGGCTCTGCCACTCACACCCATGCCCATCCCCCAGCCTTCTGCGGCAGGCAGCTGGGAATGAGCTCTCCCGTGTGCGAGGCCTGGGCTCCATCCCCAGCCCCCGCGGAAAGAGAAGAGAAGAAAGCAGAAAGCTGGCTGTGGAATCCATGAATCCTGTAATAGCATCTTTTTTATTTTTTTTTGCCAGCTCTGGGGCTTGAACTCGGCCTGATCGCTGTCCCTGAGCTTCATTTACTCAAGCAGCGCTCTACTTGAGCCACAAGGCCATTTCTAGCTTTTTTTGTGTATGTGGTGCTGAGGGATTGAATCCAGGACCTCATGTGTGCAAGGAAAGCACTTTACCACTGAGCCACCTTTCCAGCCGCCCCACCCTCTTTTTTTGGGGGTTGGTGGTGGGGTTTGAACTCAGGGCCTGGGCGCTGTTCTGAGCTGCACAGTCAAGGCAAGCGCTCTACCACTCGAGCCGCAGCCCCCCCCCCAGCCCCTTTTCTATTCTGTGGAGCTAGGGTCCCACTGTGTAGTCCAGGCTGAACTCTTCATCTGCCTGGCCTCCACTTCCCCAGAGCTGGGCTGACAGGAGCGAGGCATGACCAGGCCTGGCAATATTGGACTTCTCGCTAAGTCCTGGGACCCTGCTTCAATCTGCCCTTGTACGGGGCTCCTGGGAGGAAGAGGGCACAAACTGCTTGGAGTGTATAGGGAAGATGTTTCTGGAAATGGAATGAAATAGAAAAAGCTGAGGGGCTGGTCGCTGGTGGCTCACACCTGCCAGCCTAGCTACACAGGAGGCTGAGACCTGAGGATGATGGTTCAAAGCCAGCCCGGGCAGCAAAGTCCACTGAGATGCTTAGCTCCCAAGGACCACCAGAAAACTGGAAGTGATGCTGTGGCTCAACGTGGTAAAGCACTTGCCTCAAGCTGAAGAGCTGAGGGACAGTACCCAGGCCCTGAGTTCAAGCCCCACCACCGACCCCAAAAAAAGAAGGAAAAAAAAAGATAGGTGAAGGTAGAAATCTGAGTGAATTTTTATTTGTTTTTGCTAAAGGCTGGCATTCTACCACTTGAGCCACAGCGCCACTTCTGGCTTTTTCTGTGTCTGTGGTGCTGAGGAATGAAACCCAGGGCTTCATGCATGCTAGGCGAGCACTCTACCACTGAGCCACCTTCCCAGCCCAGGTGAATGGATTTTTTTTTTACAGGAAGCCTGGGGAGGGAACGCAGGACCTTACACAGGGCTGGCAAGCACTCGGCCCCTTAGCCCCTGAGTGGATGGAGTTTGGATACCAGGCTGTGTTTGGGGGAGGACACTGCATCTAAACACATGTGCTGTATTGTCTGGATCTCTCAGTGACTGAGATAAGCCTTGTTCTGCAACCTTCTGAACTCAGATGTGCCTCAGTTTCCTCCCCTGGAAAATGTAGATCTTAGCCCCAGACTCACAAGGTTGTAGGAAGAGAAGCTCCCATTCCCTCCCCCCCCCCCCCACCACACACACACTCACACACAAAAGGCTTATAACAAGGTCAGAGGCAGGAGTGGTGGTCCAGGCTTGTAATCCCAGCACTTGGGAGGCTGAGGCAGGAAAATAGCAGGTTCGGGTCCAGCCTGGCCTACATAGTGAGATCAAGCCCCCCTCCTCAAAGCAGCAATCTCCAACCAGGGATCAATGAACTGCTCCCAGTAGCTGGACCTGGGGGCGTGGCTTTGTGGAAGGGGCGTGGCCTGGGCCTGGGGCGTGGATCAAGTGTTACACACTAGCCTAAAGCCCTGGAATTCAAACCCCAGTTCCCACCTAGGTAACAATCAACAACAACAACGTGTGTGTGTGTGTGTGTGTGTATGTGTGTATTTTTGGGTATGTGATGCTCAGAACATTCTAGAACCAAGGTGCAGCTTTTCTGGGAAACAATGGCTTTGGTGGTCCCAGCTCCAACTTGGTGGGTTCTTACCTGGATGTCCTCACCTGACCTGCGGATGGATAAATCTCAGCTGGGGATGGACCCTGTGTCCTCCCCCCACTTCGAGGACCGTTTTGGGGGGTTATAGTGGTGGGACAGCAGCATCCCTTTGGTGGTGGGGAGGTTGGGAAACAACGGGACTGAGAAATGGGTCTAAATCTGTTACTTTCCAGCCCTGCGGTCAGCCCCCAACCAGCCAGCAACTCTCCAGAACTAAACACGGCACCAGGTCTGATCCTCAGATACCCACCTCTGGAGTAGCTAGAGTCCAGGTGTGAGCCACTGGTGCCTGGCTACAAAGGGGTCTTTCTGGCTACAGAAGAGTTTTATTGTATTTTATTTTTCTAGTCCTGGGGCTTGAACTCAGGGCTTGGGAGCTGTCCTTGAGCCTCGGTGCTCTACCACTTCTGCCTTTTTCTGGAGAGGAGAGTCTCAGGAGCTTTTGTGCCCCAGTTGGCTTGGAATTGTGGTCCTCATGTCTCAGCCTCCTGAGTAGCTCGATGACAGGAGTGAGCCAGCGGCGCCCGGCCCAGAAGAACTGTTTTCTTTTTTAAGTTACCCAGGAGAGCCTGGGTGTGGTAGCTCACACCTGAAATCCCTGCTATGTGGAGGCTGAGGTCTGGAGGACTGCAATCTGAAGCCAGCTGGGTACCAACAGCTAGGTGTGTGTGGTAGTCCACACCTGTCACCCCAGCTACGCAGGAAGATTAAAGAAGAGGACTGAGCGTGACTCCAGGCGTAAACTCTACACCCTGGGCCTCAAAATAAAGCCAACAGTGCTGGGAGGCGTGGTCCCAGTGTCTGAGCGCAGACTTAGCAAAGCACAAGGCCCTGAGTGCAAACCCTTGTACTGCCAAATAGAAACAACAAGAACTGGGCGCTGGTAGCTCACGCCTGTCATCCCGGCTACTCAGGAGGCTGAGATCTGAGGATCACAGTTCAAAGCCAGCCCCTGCTCAACCAATCGAAAACCGAAGTGGCGCTGTGCCTCAAGTTGCAGGGCACTAACTGAGCGCAGAGAGGGGGCAGAGAGGAGAGGCCGGGCCCTGGGGGTGCGTTCCGCAGCTCCCACACTGCATCGTGTCTCCCCACACGCCTGCTCCAGGTACTGTGGTGCCTTCCTGTAATCCCATCCCAGCGCCAGGGAGGCGGGGGCAGGAGAACCCAGACTTCTCCAGAATAAATTCAAGACCAGCTGAGCTACCTGTAAGGCCTAATCCCAACCTCTGCCCCCCCCCACACACCCCAAGAAAAACAAGCTCCTAGAAGCATCTAGTGCGTGCAAGTCGGGGCTGAGAACCTGGACATTCAAATGTCAACTTTATGGAACCTTCTGGCACTTCTGGAGGTTCCCGCGTGGGCCTGGAGTCTTGCCCCGGGGGGCTGCTGCTCCTGGCTGTGAACGTCCCGGGCTCCCCACACACCCTGAGGGCCAGGGCTCCCTGGGAGCCGGCGCGCTCGGACATAGCAGGGCTGAGCTGGTGAAGGGCAGATCCCGCACCAGGCCGGGCGGCACAGCGGGCATGGCCGCAGCTGGCCGGATTCCCTCCTCCTGCTCCCCGCTTAGTAGGAGCCGCTGTTTTTTACCACCTGAAAAAATGACAAAGCTATCTCCATTCTGGGGGGTGCTTCCCTTCTGGGGGTGCTTCCTATCTATCCAAGCGGGAGGGAGGA